TGAACATACAATACATACAATGATCCTCCGCCTCAGCCGCCCGAGTGCTGTGATTACAGGCATGTGCCACCACGCCTGGCTTACGTTAACATCTTTTTCTTAAAAGAAAAGCCTAATGGGGGCCAGTGAGATAGTTCAGTGGTCTAAAGCGCCTGCTTAGGCAAGCTCAGGCAAGCGCAGGACCGCGGTTCAATCCCTGGCACCACATGCTGCACCAGCCCCGCCCCAAGGGCGGGCTAAACTGGCCAGAGTCTAGGCCTGTAATCCCAGCACTGGGGAGGCTGACAGCAGGAGGATCACCATGAGTCTAAGCTGTGTAGTGAGACCCTGTAACAACCAAATACATTTTTTAAAAAAAGCGTAATAACACATATGCCATAGGTTCGCCAGCGCAGCCTGTGCTCTCCCTCACCCCAATCCACTTCCCTACCCTACAAGGTCTGCCTTTTATTCTTTATTTATAATTGGATTTCTCAAATTAGAGAAACTATGCAATAAAAACTATGGGATGCACCACAACTTGTGTGCCTTCTTTGGGCAGGGGCATTGTCTTAGTTACTTTTCTCTCATTGCTGACATAAAATACAGGACACCCAAAGTTAAAGGAGAAAAGATTTATTTAGCTCACAGTTTGTGAAGGTTTCCGTCTGTACTCAGCTGGCTCCAAGGCAGGGTGGCATGGCAGAAGGGCAGCAGCTCATGGCAGGAGGAAGACAACAAAAGCAACAAGATTGTATCCAATCTGCGGGGGACTAGGGCGGTTCCAATCCAATCCGTGGACTGAACCAACAATCACCCACCCTTAATTCCAGGATGCTTAGTCCTAGCATTGAACCATGAATCAATCACGAATTCTAGCTTCAGCTACCTCTAAAAAAGCTCCATCTAAAAGTGCATGGGGTGCTGGGGAGATGGCTCAGTAGAATAAGCGCTTCCCTGGCAAGCGCAAGGGCCTGAGTTCAATCCCTGGTGCTGCCAAAAAAATAAAAAATAAAAAATAAAATTGCATGGGGCGTTAGGAGGACACCTAGACACAAATTGTAACAGCCATACTAGTGTTTTCTGTATCATTCCTTTTACTTTTTTTTTTCTTTTGAGACAGAGGGAGAGAGCATCTCTCTATGTAGTTCAGGCCAGGTTTGAACTCACTGTGTAGCTCATGCTGGCTTTAAACCCACAGCACTCCTCCTGCCTCAGCTTCCCAAATGCTAGGATTATAGGTATGCACCATCATGCCCAACTCTATATCATTCCAATTTTAATATATACACTGCCAAATGGAGTACCCAGTTAAACTTACAATGTTTAATCAAGCTGTTCATTTATTATGTGTGCCTTTTTAACATATATTATACTTCCAAAAATTATTTTTGAAAAAAGTTAGATCTTTATATAATGCCATGGGTAAGTTTCCAAAATATATCACTGAGTGGAAAAAGCAAGTTATAAAACAATATGCACAGCTGCTATGAGAAACACTCCCGCAAGCTGCGTGCGGTGGCACATGCCTGTGATCGCAGAACTGACACGCAGAGACAGAAGGGTCATGGTGAGTTTGAGGTCAGCCTGACCCACAAAGGGAGACTGTTTCAAAAACAAAAACAAAAACAGAAAACAACAAAAAGAAAATTCAGAGATATGGAAAGTATAACGGCTTTAGCGAATTTAAGTTTTTCAAGGTAAAAATAGTTCTAGAGCCCAGCAGGGTGGCGGATACCTGTAATCTTAGCAGTTGGGAGGCTGAGGCAGGAGGATCTTTTTGAGTTCAAAACCAGTGTGGGTTACAAAGTGAGCTCAAAGGCCAGCTTCAACTACATAGAGAGACCCTGTCTCAAAAAGACAAAGAAAATAAAATTTAGAATGCTAAATTTTATTTAATGTGCATTTAACCAGAAATAACTTTTTATATCCCTAGGGTGTGCTCTTTTTTTCTTCTTCTTCTCTTATCTCTTTTCTTTCTTTTTTTTTTTATCTCTTTTCTTTCTTTTTTTTTTTTTTTTTTTTTTTTTTTGAAACCTTTGGGGCCCAGGCTGTATGATAGGGGTTATGGGGGAGCCCTGACTATGTGACTTAAGCCCCGAAGTCCTGAGGTTGGTGTTATCTCACCTCAGGAACAGGGAGGTGTGTGGAAGACCACAGGCACCCTGACTGGGTAGAATGCTGATAACCCAGCACTCCGGAAGCAAGCTGGCATCTGCTGAGGACAGTTGTCAAAATACAGGAACCTGGGTATAGAGAAAATCTGGTTCCTCATTCATTTCTTATCTGCTCATTCTCAATAGGTGCTGTTAAATGGATGCTGCCCCTATCCCTGTGGCTCTTGCTTGCTGATGAAAGATTACCCCTGAAATTGTTGTGCTTGTCTAGCAGAGACAAGTTCCTCCCAGTCCCTTTTGCACATGAGAAAAATAATATTTTTGAGACAGAGTCACTATGCAGTCCAGGCTGGCCTCCAACTCATGGCCATCTCCTGTCTTAGCATTCTAAGCACTAGGACTACAGGCAGGTGCCACCATGCCTGACTAAATTTTGACTTTTGTCTTTCTTTATTCCCCACTATTTCCCACTCTGGTATTCAGGGTCAGCTAGTACCTGGAACAGGGACTCTGAGACCTGGAGGGTAAGACCCACCAGAGTAGGAAATACATATCGGAGAGCTGGAAGGAAGGAATCCAGAAGATGGCTGTTCCAAGTTATTGTGGGGCCGGTGAGATAGCTCAGCAGACTAAGCGTCTGTCCTAGCCTTAGCCTTAGCCTTAGGCAAGCCCAAGGGCTGGGGTTTGAACTGCTGTACCACATGTAGCACCCGCCACACCCTCAGGTGCACTGAGTTGAGGACTGAGCCCGGGCGTGGTACCCTGCGCCTGTAATCCTAGTCCTGGGGAGGCTGAAAACAGGAGGATCACTATGAATTCTAGCTGCGTAGTGAGACTCTGCACACACACACACACACACACACATACACACACACACACACTAAGTCATTGTGCCATAGCCATAGAAAGGTTTTTTTTTTTTTTTTTTTTTTGTACTGGGGTTTGAACTCAGAACCTTGAGCTTGCCAGGCAGGCGCTTATGCTACTGAACTATCTCTCCAGCCCCGGAAAGGCTTTTCTTAACCCAGATAATGGGGCAGAATTTATTGGTAGAGGAGCAAAGATGTGTGCAATTCCTAGGTATGCAGGGGTCCAAATCAGTACCCACTCTTTCAAAAATGCTTCAAGATATTACCAAGCAGGGCCGAGGAGACAGCTCAGCAGCACAAGCACCTGCCAGGCAAGTGCAAGGCCCTGAGTTGACTCCTAGTACCTCCCTCCCCAAAAAGATATTACCAAGCTTAACCTCTGGATCCCACAGGTGGAATCTTGGACATAGAGAATTGGGATAGAATGGGCAAGACTTGGAGAAGTGCCCTTGCTAGCGATGTACGGGAAATGCTAGGCGTTGTGACACACCAGGTTCGTGTTTTCCAAAGACAAAGAATGAATTCTAAGGAACAACAGAGGATAAGAATAGGAAAGTTGGGGCTGGTGAGATGGCTCAGTGGTCTAAAGCACCTACTTAGGACAAGCTAAGCTAAGCAAAGCACAGGGACCGCGGTTCAATCCCCCAGCACCACATGCCAGCCAGCCCCGCCCCCTGGTGGGCTGAGCTGGCCATATACACACACACACACAAAATAAATAAATTAACAAATAAATTATTTTTTAAAAAAAAGAATAAGAAAATTTTGGGGGAAAAAGGAATAGGAAATAGAAATAGCTTATGAGAAATAGGAGGGAGTCCCAAGTGGGTTGCCAATGGCTCCACTCCTCAAAGGAGCAAAATCATGAGGTGGGTACAATGTAGGTCAAAAGTATGACCAACCAATAAAGTTGCAAGGGTAGCCGCTTAGGTAATATTGATCTAGTAGTAGCAAGGGTATGTGGGTAAGTAGCAAGGGTATGTGGGTAAGTAGCAAGGGTATGTGGGTAAGTAGCAAGGGTATGTGGGTAAGTAGCAAGGGTATGTGACATCATTATCCTTGGTCAGTAATCTCTAGTCTTAGTCTTGTCTTTAGTTCCAATTTTAGTGGTCTTAGTTTTAGTCTTACTATGTGGGAGAGGATGCTCCACCCCTAACATGATAGTGGGAAAATGCAAAAGGGTGATACTAATCATCTCCAACTTCTGGTTACCCCTTAAGGAAATCTGTCAATGCGGCCACTATGACTTTTGTCTTCTTCAGATGCGACTCCAGCCACAGTTTGGATTTAGCCTCATCTTCTGCACTGACTCCCTCGAAGGCCCAACTCCGTCTGACTGCCTACAGTATTTCTATTCAGGCCGGCGATATTAGCTCAGTGGCACATCACCTACCTAGCAAATGTAGGGTCCTGAGTTTGATGTCCAGTACACACACAAAAATATTTCCGCCTCATTTAACTGTCTATAATATTCCCTTTCTATGAAGAAGGGATGTAATTTCCATCTAGCTGATTTGGGCTAAGAAGGGTTGGTTCAGGGGAGCCTGCAGTCCAAGGCCTTCCCTGGAGAGCTAATGTAATGGGTTTTGGCTAGAAGTCATGTTGCAGTTGAGCAGTTAAAAGCCCTGTACAAGCTCAGTCTAATGGATCCTGGACAAAAGAAGTCTGACACATTTGTTGGTTCAGTCTTCATGGTCACTTAGAAATTGGCAGCCTCTGTCCAGGCCTGGTGGCGCATGTCTGTATTCCTAGTGCTAGAAAGGCTGAAAACAGGAGGAGCACAACAAGTCGGAGTTGCATAGTGAGACCCTGTACCAGATACATTTTTTAAAAAAAGAAAGAAATTGGTAGCTTCTGGGCAAGAATAAACAAATTTACTAAGAAATTAAGGGGTTGGCGCGTCGACCGCCCAGAATCTGCGGCTGGGTGGCCCAGAGGAGCCAAACAGCTATGATCTATCACATCTTCCTGGTGAAGCCCATCAGCTGCCATGCCTGGAACAAGGACTGCACACAGATCGCCATCTGCCCCAACAACCACGACGTTCACATCTACGAGAAGAGCAAGGCCAAGTGGACCAAGGTGCATGAGCTCAAGGAGCACAATGGGCAGGTGACAGGCACTGACTGGGCACCTGAGGGTAACCACACCGTGACCTCTGGCACAGACCGCAATACCTACATGTGGACGCTCAAGGGCAGTACATGGAAGCCTACGCTTGTCATCCTGTGGATCAACCCTGCGGCCCGCTGCGTGCGCTGGGCTCCCAAAGAGAACAAGTTCGCTGTGGGCAGCGGCTCCTGCATCATCTCCATCTTCTATTTTGAGCAGGAGAATGACTGGTGGGTATTTAAGCTCATCAAGAGGCCCATCTACTCCACCGTGCTCAGCCTGGACTGGCACCCTAACAACATGCTCCTGGCCGCGGGCTCCTGTGACTTCAAGTGCAAGATCTTCTCAGCCTACGTTAAGGAGGTGGAGGAGCGGCCAGCCCCCACCCCATGGGGCTCCAAGATGCCCTTTGGAGAGCTGATGTTCGAGTCCAGCAGCAGCTGCGGCTGGGTGCATGGCGTCTGTTTCTCGGCCAGTGGCAGCCACTTCGCCTGTGTCAGCCACAACAGCACAGTGTGCCTTGCCAATGCTGACAAGAAGATGGCCATGGCGACCCTGGCCTCTGAAACTCTGCCGCTGCTGGCCCTCACCTTCATCACTGAGAACAGCCTGGTGGCAGTGGGCCATGACTGCTACCCTGTGCTGTTCACTTACGACGGCACGGCTGGGAAGCTCAGCTTCAGCGCGCGCCTGGACGTACCCAAGCAGAGCTCTCAGCGCGGCCTCACGGTTGGGGAGCGCTTCCAGAACCTCGACAAGAAGGCAAGCTCAGAGGGCGGCACAGCAGCAGGTGCTGGGCTGCACTCGCTGCACAAGGTCAATGTCAGTCAGATCTCAGTGCTCAGTGGGGGCAAGGCCAAGTGCTTACAGTTCTGCATGGATGGTGGCATGGGCATCTGGGACGTGAAGAGCCGGGAGTCAGCTCTGAAGGACCTCAAGATAAAGTGACCTATGAGGCACACTGCCTTCATCCCGACTAGTAGGGGAGAAAGGCAATGAGGGGCTGCTTTGCTGGATGCTTCTACGGTATAGCAGGAGTCCCCAAAGGGCTGCTCCCTCAGAAGGGGAGGGGTTGGTGGGGAGCTTTGCATATCTGTTCAGGGAACATGTGCCTTTTTCTTAAATGCTTTCATTTATTGTTTTTAAAAAAGAAATGCCCAAAAGCACAATGCTGGTCATGAACTCCTTCAGATGTGGAGGTAATAAAAATGCAATTTTGAACATGCTTCAAAAAAAAAAAAAAAAGAAAGAAAGAAAGAAAGAAAGAAAGAAAGAAAGAAAAAGAAAAAAGAACTTAAAGCATGTATAATCAAAGCATGAGCTCTAGAATGAAAAGGCAGTTTGGAGGAAAAGCCATGTTTAGAACCTGCACTTAGGGGACTGGAATAGTAGTTGTAACCAGTTGACTCTTAGACCCCTGTACTAATGGGAGTTATCTATAAGTCTGATACTTCTTGTCATCAGTCCCTCTAGTTTCAGCTGTGAGAAGATGGAGTCTTCAGTGGTTCTTAAGGACAATTTTAGCTAAGGCAAGCAGAAGGTCCTGAATTCAATTCTTACTGCAAAATAAATAAATACCCTTGCTGAGCTTTTATAGATATCACTGTAGTTTTCTTTCTTTCTTTCTTTCTTTTTTTTTTTTTTTTTTTTTTTTT